ATTTCTTCTGGTACGTATCCCACAAAGGGTGAAAGTTTTGAATAACCAAAACGATTAAAAAACCCGAAACTTATTTCTACTGACACAGGATCTGCGGTGACGATGGGATATATTGGTCCACTCTGGTTCCTCCCCCAAAAAAAGGTCAAAATTTTGAATATTCAAGAAAATCGTAAAGAGCGAAATTAACATCCGATTCCATATTTCCATTAACACAATATATGTTATAAAAATGATAGAGATCGGACCATTCCTTCTGGTATCTCTACCACAAAGGGTTAAAGTATCAAATAACCGAAACGACTATAAAATCCGAAATAATAAATGTGATGCATTTAAAGGGGGGTTTTTAGAGCCTACATGTGTCGCATACCTTCTTCTACTAGACTTCAAAAAAAGTATACACCTTTATAATAAACCCTAAGTATTATATTCTTCTATGGAAGGTCTCAAGCTCTTATATTCTAGTCATATAAGAGTCATATAATCTACTTTAGAGGACTTTAGAAGTCGCATAATTGCCTTTAGAGACATCATACATTGCCCTCTAGAAGCCTTCAATGATCTTATACTCCTCCATGGGATACCTCAAATGCCTCAAAGGTAGTGTACTGCTCTTTATAAGACCTTGGAGACAATGAGTTTTTCGAAAGGATTTTTGCATTATTCGGCTAAAGGACAATTAGAAGCCTTATAATTTTTCAAAAATATTATCTCTTCATTAGGATGTACTGCGGATTTTGGGAAAACCTCAAGCATTTTTTACCTCAAACATTAATTGTGGACTTCCATCAAATCCACTCTTAAGAGGAGTATAAGGTTTTGTCAACTATAAGCGTTTAAAGAATAAGAATATCCATTATTTTCAGAATTATTAGACTTTTCAATTATTTCCTGAAAAAAGAAAAAAATCGTGAAAAATTCAAATAAAAATTTTGTCAATTTTTCCTGACTCCAAATCGCCATTTCAAAATCCTTTTAATTTCAATATTTTCCCCATCTCTACTCTAGCCTTTTTGTTATCTTCCGATATTTATTCCCTTGAATGCATTTTTCCTTCTAAAAATACTTTCCTTTGTTTGCGGGAGCATATTTTTTAGCAGTCACCTAAGGGTTAAAACCATCCAATAAATTCTTGCCTGGCCATGCCATGTAGAAGTCATGGAAGTTTCTTTGTTTTTGTTTGTGTTATCTTTGGAAGCTTGTTTATGCATGGGGAATGCATTTTGCATACTAAACTCGACGATTCTTAGCAATGAACTTGAAATAATGTCGATATGAGATTGTCACCTATCCAATTGAAGGGAATTGAAAGGAAATAAAAGGAATAAAGAAAAATGCGTTTTCCAGTTGTGGGAGGACAGGATAGATAGGGAAATGGTGAAAATGAAATTCGATTTATGAAATTTTGAAAATTTTGTATTTTTATATTTTTAAAATTTATTAAAAATTAAAAAAAAGTATCAGTCGATTTAGCCGACAGAGGTATACCCTCTGTCCATATTCGATTATTTAAAGATATTTTTACTTCTATTATGATTATTCAAATTCTTGACCCTCTATGGAGTAGGTTATGAAGGAATGAGCCAAAATTGTCCATTTCGTATCCGACCAAAATAAATATGATATAAATATTGCGACGTGACAGGTTTGGACTATATCGATTGCTTCCTTCACTTTATATGAGATATGGGATAATTTTGAGAAAATTTTAAAATGTGGTTGAGATTCCAGATATTTTCGACGTTTTCGAAGTTTTCCCATTTTCATACTTCATCCAATACAGATAAAAATATGGGTATAGGCAGAATTGCAAGAAAAGTTTAACATTTATATCCAATTTTTGGCGAAATTGTAAATTCCATATTCATCTCAGGTTTTCAGATTCTGATAGAGCAAATTTCAGTGTGACCCTTTTGTGGGTGAGGTATCAGAAGGGGTTCGCAGATATATATCATCTTCACAACAGATCTTGTCTTAGCAGAAATGTTTGTCAGCGTGAAATTTGAGGAGAATTGGATGCTTATTTCGCTTTCTTTGAGCGTTTTGTTTTTCAAAATCTTGAACCCTATGTGTGGAGGTACCAGAAGAAATGGTCCGATCTCTACAATCTTTATAATAGATTTTGTGTTGATAGAAATATTTGAGATGTGCCAAGTCTGAATGGAATCGGATATTAATTTCGAGTTTTATGAGCTTCATGGATATTCAAAATTTGTTGACCCTTTGTGAGGGAGGTACCAGAAGAATTGGACCTATATATTCTAGCTTCACAGCAAATCTTGTGTTGGCAGAAATAATGGGAGGTGTAAAATATGAAGACAACCAAATAATTATTCCGGATTTTATAATCGTTTTGGTCATTCAAAATTTTGACCCTTTGTGGGGGAGGTACTCGAATAAATTGTTCGATCTCTACCATCTTTATAACAGATCGTGTGTTGATAGAAATATTGAGATATTCTAAGTCTGAATGGAATCGGATATTAATTTCGCATTTATGGGCTTCATGGATATTCAAAATTTCGGCCTTTTGTTGGGGAGGCACTAGAAGAAGTGGACCTATGTACCATCATCTTCTCAGCAGATCTTGTGTTAGTAGAAATAATGGGATGTGTGAAATATAAAGAGAACCGGATGCTTATTTCGGATTTTATAATCGTTTTGGTTATTCAAAAACGTTGACCCTTTATGGTAGAGCTACAAGAAGAAATGGTCCAATCTCTATCATCTTTATAACAGATCTTTTGCTGATAGAAATATTTGATATGTGCCAAGTCTAAATGGAATCGGATGTAAATTTTTCATTTTATGGGCTTCATGGATATTCAAAATGTGGACCCTTTGTGGGGGAGATACCAGTAGGAGTGGACCACTATATCCCCTCTTCACAGCAGATCTTGTGTTAGTTGAAATAATGGGATGCATGAAATAGGAAGAGAACCGGATACTTATATCTGATTTTATAATCGTTTTGGTCATTCAAAATTTTGACCCTTTGTGGGGGAGGTACTCGAAGAAATGGTCCGATCTCTACCATCTTTATAATAGATTTTGTGTTGATAAAAATATTCAGATGTACCAAATCTAAATGGAATCGGATGTTAATTTCGCTTTTTATGAGCTTCATGAATATTCAAAATTTTGACCCTTTGTGGGGGAGGCACCAGAATGAGTGGTCCGATATATTCCACTTTCACAACAGATCTTTGGTTTATAAAACTATTGTGATATGTGTAATTTGAAGGCAATCGGACCCTTATAATTTATTAGAGTTATAATTATTCAAAATGTTAACCCTCTATGTTAGAGGTACTTGATGGAATGTACCGATAGTGTCCATTTTCGTACCTGACCTTGCACTGATGCAAATATTAGGATTCTAAAAGTTGGAGCAAAATCGGATTATCGTTTCTCTTTCTGTACAGAAAATATATATTTTTGAAAATTTCGACATTTTGTGGGAGAGGTACCAGAAACAGTGGACCGATATTGCCCATCTCCGAACTCGATCTAAGTTGCATAATAATATTAGGATGTACCAAATTATGACCAAATCGTATACTCCCTTCGAGCCAGCCAGCCATACAAAAGGACGGACATCGCTGCACCGACTCCAAATGTCCTGCAACGGATTTGGTCCAAAGAGACCCAGGGTCGAAAATCGTTATTTTGATGAGGCAAATTTTGGCCGTATCAAATGATATATACCTAGAGAGGGTATAAAAAATATGGCAATTATTAAACCATTTCTAAATGAATTTTTTATACCCTCCACCATACTATGGAGGGTATATTAACTTTGTCATTCCGTTTGAAACTCCTCGAAATACTCATGTCAGACACAACAAAGTATATATATTCTTGATCAGCGTAAAATTCTAAGTCGATTCTGTCTGTCTGTTGTAATCACGCTATCTTTCGAACGAATTGAGACACAAGGCTAAAATTTTGCACACAGGGTTATTTTTACAGTAGGCAGGTTAAGTTCGTAAATGGGCCATGTAGGTCCCCCATATAACGGTACCTCCCGATATTCGGTATTTTGATGATTTTAGCGACATTATTCACTGGAATTGTTTCAAACTTGGTATTTGAAGTTCGAAATGGATACTACAGCCTAAGACAGAAAATTGTCTGTGCAGGTCCACGTCTTCGTAAGCCCCCATATAACGGTACCTCCCTATATTCGGTATTTTGGTGATTTTAGCGTCTTTATTCACCAAAATTTTTTCAAATTACGCATTTAAAGTTCGTAATGGAAACTCCAGTCTGTGACAGAAAATTGTCTACGCAGGTCCCGGTCTTGGTATAGGCCCCATATACCAGTACCTCCCTATATTCGGTATTTTGACGAGTTTAGGTATAATACTCACCGAAGTTGTTTGAAATGTCGTATTTGAAGTTCGTAATGGATGCTACAGAATATGACAAAAAATTGTCTACGTAGGTTCAGGTCTCCGCACAGCTCCGATATAACGGTACCTCCCTATATTCTATACTTTGATGATTTTAGCTACATTATTCGCGTTTATTTCAAGTTCCGAATTTGAATTTGGTAATGACTCATGACAAATAATGTCTGTGTGCGTCCACGTCGTATAGGCACCAATATAACGGCAATATTCGGTATTTTTAAAATTTTACCAAATTTTTTTCAGGATTTTATTTCCAAATTCGTTCCAAATGGTGGAGGGTATTCAAAGTTCGGCCCGGCCGTTTGTTTTAATTAAAATGTTTTTTTTTTCTTTTTTTTTTTTTGAAGTTATATAACATCCTTATTAATCCTTAAAACTAGAAAAAAATGTATATATAAATCCTTATGGAAAATATAAATTTTAATTAAATATTAATTTTAAATTAATCTGACATTGTATTAAATTCAAAAATAATTTTAAAATTCAAAAATGAAAACTCAAAATTAATTTTTTTTTTGATTTTAAATTAATTTATTCATAATTAAAATTATATATAAATATTCTGTAATTTTCTCTTTCCAGTTGATATCTGAAATACCCTCTCAGGAGTACCAAAAAAAAATTAACAGCAATTGAACGATTAGCTGAGAGAGAGAGAAAACCAGAGAACACAATTTTTGTCTGAAACCCCAAAAAAATTTCAACAAAATCCCATTTTGGTAAAAAAAAAAATAAATTTTAAATAAATAATAATTTAAACAAAGAAAGAGAAGGAGTAATAATAATACAAACAACCCAAGAAGAAAGGAATAATACTAAAACAAAGAGAAAACCAATACAAAAAGAATCCCAAAACAGAAAACGGCAAACAAGAGAACAAGTTTTTTTATTAAAAGAGTAAAACCAAGCATAAACCCCTACGAGAAAACAAAAACAACAACTGTAACAAGAGAAGTAGTTCGAAAAGAGATAGAAAGAGTAAAGAACAAAATAACAACACCACAAAAGTGATAGAAATCAAAAGCCTAATTCCACATTGAGTTCAAGCAGCGAAATTCAACGAACATCATCATGAATTTAAGTGGTTATCACAGAAACTCTCTCTAAAGAGAGAGAGCGAAAGAAAAAAGAGAGAGTTGCAATAATTTAAAAAAAAGACACAAAGAGTCATAGCGAAAAAAAACATCATATCTCATTACATTATTTAGCTAAGACTTAAACCAAAAACACCAAACACCCAGAAATCAAACACCCACCCACCCACAAGAATAGCAACAACAACAACAGCAGCAGCAACAAAATGGCAATAAATTTCTCCGCCTCATTTGCCGCCTGCATAGCTGCCGGCCTCAAAGTGCCACGCCAGATTATGTACTGCATCACCCAGGACACGGGCCAGCCGTATGTCCTCTACAAAGATTCACAGGAAGCCGAACGAAATGCCGCCGCCATTGGCGGCACCCCAACCCAATGGGGCACAGAAATGTATCCCGGCATCCAGCAACAACATTTAAGTGCACAACAACAAAATGCCATAACGGCAAATGGTCAAGCGGCCGCCTCAAATGGTCCAACGTCACATTCGCCCAACGGCGATCCACATGGCCGTGAAAATGGTGGCGATGGTGCGGGTGGAGCTGGTGGTGGAGTGCGGCAACAGGGCTCACCGTCGACCAGTCCGTACCCGCCTCAACAGCAGCAGCAACAACAACAGCAGCAGCGGACAAATGGAACCAATGATGATGATGTGAACATGAATCAGGTGAGTAATGGGGAAATGGAAAGGGGGCAGATAAAGTATCTATGTTACATAGATCAGTTGGATAATAGATCTACGTCACACAGATAACGGTAAAATTATGTTTTCATATTCAGATAATGGGAGTTGTCATGTATCTTCATCCATTGGATACTGTATCTATGTTATCCCAATGACATGGATAATGTATCTATGTTATCCTGATGACATGGATAATGTATCTATGTTATCCTAACGATGTGGGTAATGTATCTATGTTATCCTAACGATGTGGGTAATGTATCTATGTTATCCTAACGATATGGAGAATGTATCTATGTTATTCTAATGGCATGGATAATGTATCTACGGTATCCTAATGACGCGGATAATGAATCTACGTTATCCTAATGTCATGGATAATGTATCTATGTTGTCCTAATGTCATGGATAATGTATCTATGTTATCTTAACGACATAGATAATGTATCTACGTTATCCTAATGTCATGGATAATGTATCTATGTTATCCTAATGAGGTGGATAATGCATCTACGTTATCCTAATGGCATGGATAATGTATCTGTGTTATCTTATGTCAGGGATAATGCATCCTGATGACATGGATAATGTATCTATGTTATCCTAATGACATGGATAATGTATCTATGTCATCCTAATGACATGGATAATGTATCTATGTCATCCTAATGAGGTGGATAATGTATCTATGTTATCCTAATGTCATGGATAATGTATCTATGTTATCCTAACGACATAGATAATGTATCTACGTTATCCTAATGTCATGGATAATGTATCTATGTTATCCTAATGAGGTGGATAATGCATCCATGTTATCCTAATGATGCGGATAATGTATCTACGTTATCCTAACGACATAGATAATGTATCTACGTTATCCTAATGTCATGGATAATGTATTTATGTTATCCTCATGAGGTGGATAATGCATCTATGTTATCCTAATGACGCGGATAATGTATCTACGTTATCCTAACGACATAGATAATGTATCTACGTTATCCTAATGTCATGGATAATGTATCTATATTATCCTAATGAGGTGGATAATGCATCTACGTTATCCTAATGATGCGCGTAATGTATCTACGTTATCCTAACGACATAGATAATGTATCTATGTTATCCTAATGGCATGGAAAATGTATCTATGTTATCCTAATGACAAGAATAATGTATCTATGTTATTCTGACGATATGGATAATTTATCTACCCTATCCTAATGTCATGGATAAAGTATCTATGTTATCTTAATGACGAGGATAATGTATCTACGTTATCCTAATGTCATGGATAATGTGTCTACGTTATCCTAATGACGTGAATAATGTATCTATGTTATCCTACTAACGCGGATAATGTATCTACGTTATCCTAATGTAATGGATAATGTATCTATATTATCCTAATGGAATGGACAATGTGTCTGTGTTATCCTAACGATATGGGTAATGTATCTATGTTATCCTAATGAAGTGGATACTGTATCTATGTCATCCTAATGACGTAAATAATGTATCTATGTTATCCTAATGTCATGGATAATGTATCTATGTTGTCCTAATGACGTGGATACTGTATCTATGTTATCCTAATGTTATGGATAATGTATCTATGTTGTACTAATGTCATGGATAATGTATCTATGTTATCTTAACGACATAGATAATGTATCTACGTTATCCTAACGACATGGATAATGTATCTACGTTATCCTAATGTCATGGATAATGTATCTATATTATCCTAACGACATAGATAATGTATCTACGTTATCCTAACGTCATGGACTATGTTATCCTAATGAGGTGGACAATGCATCTATGTTATCCTAATGACGCGGATAATGTATCTACGTTATTCTAATGACATGGATAATTTATCTACGTTATCTTATGTCATGGATAATGTATCTATGTCATCCTAACGACATAGATAATGAATCTACGTTATCCTAATGTCATGGATAATGTATCTATGTTATCTTATGTCATGGATAATGCATCTATGTTATCCTGATGACATGGATAATGTATCTATGTTATCCTAACGATATGGAGAATGTATCTATGTTATCTTAATGACATGGATAATGTATCTTTGTCATCCTAATGACGCGGATAATGTATCTATGTTATCCAAATGTCATGGATAATGTATCTATGTTATCCTAATGAGGTGGATAATGCATCTATGTTATCCTGATGACATGGATAATGTATCTATGTTATCCTAACGATGTGGGTAATGTATCTACGTTATCCTAATGTCATGGATAATGTATCTATGTTATCTTATGTCATGGATAATGCATCTATGTTATCCTGATAACATGGATAATGTATCTATGTTATCCTAATGACATGGATAATGTATCTATGTTATCCTAACGACATAGATAATGTATCTATGTTATCCTAATGACATGGATAATGTATCTATGTTATCGTAATGACGCGGATAATGTATCTACGTTATCCTAACGACATAGATAATGTATCTACGTTATTCTAATGTCATGGATAATGTATCTATGTTATCCTAATGAGGTGGATAATGCATCTACGTTATCGTATGTCATGGATAATGCATCTATGTTATCCTGATGACATGGATAATGTATCTATGTTATCCTAACGATATGGAGAATGTATCTATGTTATCCTAATGACATGGATAATGTATCTATATCATCCTAATGAGGTGGATAATGTATCTACGTTATCCTAATGTCATGGATAATGTATCTATGTTATCGTAACGACATAGATAATGTATCTCCGTTATCCTAATGTCATGGATAATGTATCTATGTTATCCTAATGACGCGGATAATGTATCTACGTTATCCTAACGACATAGATAATGTATCTACTTTATCCTAATCTCATGGATAATGTATCTATGTAATCCTAATGAGGTGGATAATGCATCTATGTTATGCTAATGACGCGGATAATGTATCTACGTTATCCTAATGACATGGATAATGTATCTACGTTATCTTATGTCATGGATAATGTATCTATGTTATCCTAACGACATAGATAATGTATCTACGTTATCCTAATGTCATGGATAATGTATCTATGTTATCCTAATGAGGTGGATAATGCATATATGTTATCCTAATGACATGGATAATGTATCTATGCTATCATAACGATATGGGTAATGTATCTATGTTATCCTAATGACATGGATAATGTATCTATGTTATTCTAATGACATGGATAATGTATCTATGTGATCCTAACGACGTGGATAATGCATCTATGTTGTCCTAATGACATTGATAATATATCTATGTTATCCTAAAGAGGATGATAATGCATCTATGTTATTCCTATGATATGGATAATGTATTTATATTATTCCAACGATATGGATAATCTTTCTATGTTGTCCTAATTAGGTTGATAATGTATCTGTTATCCTAATGACATGGATACTGTAAAAATGTATCTACGTTATCTTAGGGTATTGGATAATGTATCTATGTTACCCTAATGAGGTGGATAATGCATCTATGTTGTCCTAATGACATTGATAATATATCTATGTTATCCTAACGACATGGACAATGTATCTATGTCATTCTAATGGCATGGATAATGTATCTATGATATCTTTATGACATGGATACTGTATCTATGTTATGCCAATTACGTGGATAATGAATCTACATTACTCAGATTACGTGGAAATTGTAAAATATTTGACTTCTTTTGCAACCAAGTTTTGACTCTTTCTCACATTCCCATTTTCTCTCTCTCCCCAGGTCAATGGTTTACAAAATCAACAGCCAAATTCCAATCCACAATCAAATCCAAACCAAAGCTCAAACGATCCCCAACAGCAACAGCAGCAGCATCAACAGCAACAAAATGCCAATGCAGCCTCTGCGACAGACAATAATCCGGCGGGGAATAATCCACAGCACGTCCAACAGAATGGTCAGCCCAATGATCATGCCAACAATGGCTTTCCGGGCTCACAAAACGGCGAATTGTCCAGCTATTATGCGCCACGACATCCTGGCGCCCAAGGTGGTCTGATGGCACCACCCGGTTTCCCACCTCTGCATTATCTAAATAAACCTGTTCTGCCGGGTTTGAATGGAGCCATGGATCAGGGTGCCGCTAACGGTCCCACAAATGGCCTGGAAGCCTATGCCCTGCCCGAACTGTTGCCAGGGCAAAATGGCACTGCCAATGGCAATAACCAGCAAAACGGCAGCGGGCACAGTGGCAATGCCACGTCAAATGGCACTGGGGGTAGTGGACGACAGAATTCCTCGGTCAGCCATAAACCGCCCAAACCACACAGTGATCTGCGGCTTTTCAAATGTCTTACCTGCGGAAAAGATTTCAAACAGAAAAGTACACTGCTGCAGCACGATCGCATACACACCGACGCCCGGCCGTATCCCTGTTCGGAGTGTGGCAAACGCTTCCGCCAGCAGTCGCATCTGACCCAGCATCTGCGCATCCATGCCAACGAGAAGCCCTTCACCTGCGGCTACTGCAATCGAGGCTTTCGCCAGCGGGCAATACTCAATCAGCATGTTCGCATCCATTCGGGTGAGAAGCCCTTTGCGTGTCCCGAGTGCGGCAAGCACTTTCGCCAGAAGGCCATCCTTAATCAACATGTGCGAACCCACCAAGGCGAGCGACAGTTCTTGAATAAATTCCAAAATAAAAAAAAAACCAAAACCAAAAAAAGAAAAGAAATTAGATCAGATTGAAATCACCTTTAGCAAAAAAAAAAAAAAAAAAAAAAAAAACTGAGAGTTACAGTTTAGGGCACAATTTTCGGCCTCAAAAACAAAATCAAAATTTTTCCTCTTGAAATCTGGAAACAAGTAACGAAATTCAAAATTCTCTGTGTGTGAAGCACTTTGTTATCAAGGAATTGGCTGATTTTCCAATAATGGCTTTAAGGAGTATTCACCCAAAACAAAAGAAAAAAACAAAAAACAAAGCTCGTTCGCCTTGCTTACCTTTTTGGTTCTAAAAAAAAAAAATAACTCAAAATTTTGCAAATTTCAAAAAATAAGAACAAATAATTGGCTTGCTCTCTGCTCTTAAGGTCATTATTTTGGAAAGTCTCTTAGTTAAGCAAAAATCTTAAAAAAAAATCATCTGGCAAAAACTTTCAAAATTCTTAAATTAACTGTAAGTCTCTCAATACCCTATCCGTATTCATATTCAAAATCAAAAAAAAAAAAAAAATACTGGAGAGTGCTGAAGCACTTTGCCGGCTCCACACAACCCTTTAGAGTAGCTTAGTTACCGTTCTAGATGTATTCCTCACTTCCAACATGGGACATATTATCATTTGATTTTTTGTTTTTATTTCCACAGATGTTTCACCACATCTCATATTCAAAAATGGACCACATCCGACCCTGTGGCCCCAGGATGTACCCTATCCGGGCGATGAGACTGATACCAAGAATGGCATTGCCAATGATGGTTACAATGACGATGATTCACAGAATGGTCAAGATGGAGGTATACATTATCCCGCCTACTTTAAGGATGGTAAAGGTAAGGATCCTTTAGGTTTGCAGCCTTGAAAATTCTTTACTAATTTCCTTTCTTGCTTCTAGGACAAAAAATCTTACCCGATGTCCTGTCACACATTGGTATCCGTCCGGCAAATATGCCGTTGTATGTTCGCTGTCCGATCTGCGACAAGGAGTTCAAACAGAAAACAACTCTCTTGCAGCATGGTTGCATACATATCGAATCACGTCCCTATCCATGTCCCGAATGTGGTAAACGTTTCCGCCAACAGTCACATTTGACCCAGCATTTGCGCATACACACGAATGAGAAGCCATTTGGCTGTTTGTACTGTCCGCGTTTCTTCCGTCAGAGAACTATTTTGAATCAGGTGAGAATGGAGTTGGGAAATATTTTTAAAGAATTACGATTAAAATTTATTTATTTGTTGCAGCACGTCCGCATCCATACCGGCGAGAAGCCCTACAAATGTGGCCAATGTGGCAAAGATTTCCGCCAGAAGGCGATACTGGATCAGCACACAAGAACGCACCAGGTAGTGGTATATTAAGGAAGTACAGAACCGGAGATCGTAATGGAGAAACTTTAAAAAATTTGCTAAGTCCTGAAAACCTGAAGAAATTTAGTCAAAATATCACGTTTTAAGTCCTTGAAGTCCATGAGAAATATGGAGTCTCTTTAGGGTCCTTTAAGAATTTGAACAAATACCTTTAAAGAGTCTCAACCAGAGCCCTTTCAATATTCTTAAAAAATCAGGCATAGGCCCCCAAAAAATTCTGTAAAAGTACGGGGTTGAAGCCCACAAATGCATTTCAAGTTTAGAGCCCTTAAAATATTCATTAGGAGTCCACGTTTAGAACCTCTAAAATATTCTCTAAAAGTCAAGGAATATAGCCCTCAAAATAATCAAAAAGAATCCACAATTGTGATCCACAAAATATTCATAAAGAGTCCACTACCCTCAAATATTGTGCGATCTGGGCCCTCAAGTTATTCATAAAGAGTCCACCAAAATATTATTAAAATTTCAAAGTTTAGAGCCCTTAAATATTCTTTAAAAAATCTATTCTTAAAATATTCTTAAAAAAACGATGAAGAAAAATAGCCGTTAACATATTCATTAAAAGTTTAGAATCCCTAAAATATTCTCAAAGATTCAACATTCTTCGCCACTAAAATGTTCTTTAGAATCCCTTTAAAGAACCTGAAAATATTGTTTAAAAATCGATGTTCAGAGCCCTTTAAATGGTCCTAAAAATATTCCTTAAACATCCACATTCAGAATCCTTTAAATACTCCTGAAAATGTACCTTTAAATCTATTTTCAGAGCCCTTGAAATTCACCTGAAAATATTCCTTAAAAATGTTCCCTAAAATCCGCTTTCAGAGCCCTTTAAATGCTTCTGAAAATATTCCTTAAAAATCTATGTTCAGAGACCTTTAAATACTCCTAAACAAATTCCTTTAAAACTCCAAGTTCAGAGGTCTTTAAATACTCCTGAAAATGTTCCTTAAAATTCGCGTTCAGAGCCCTTTAAATACTCCTAAAAATATTCCTTGAAAACGTGTGTTCAGAGCCCTTGAAATACTCCTAAAAGTATTCCTTAAAATCCAAGATCAGAGCTCTTTAAATACCCTTAAAAATTCACGTTCAGAGCCCCTTTAATAATCCTGAAAATAATCCTTAAAAATCTATGTTCAGAGCCTTTTAAATTCTCTTGAAAATATTCCTTGAAAATCCATGTTCAGAGCCCTTTATATACTAGAGCAAATATTCCCTAAAATCGGAGTTCCAAGCCCTTTAAATATCCATGAAAATATTCCTTAAAATCCAAGTCCAGAGACCTTAAAATACTCCTAAAAATATTCCTTAAAATCCAAGTTCAGAGCCCTTGAAATACTCCTATAAATATTCCTTAAAATCCAAGTTCAGAGTCCATTATATACTCCTGACATTATTCCTTTAAAAATCCATGTTCAGATACCTTTAAATACCCCTGAAATTTTTCCTTAAATATCCATGTTAAGAGTCCTTTAAATACTCCTAAAATATCCACCTTCAGAATCCTTTGAATACGCCTGAAAATATTCCTTAAAATCCAAGTTTAGATCCCTTTAAATTCTCTTGAAAATATTCCTTAAAAATCTATGTTCAGAGCCCTAGAAATACTCCCAAAAATATTCCTTTAAAACCCACTTTCAGAGCCCCTTAAATAATCCTGAAAATAATCCTTAAAAATCTATGTTAAAAAGAACTTTCAGAGCCCTCTAAATACTCCTAAAAATATTCCTTTAAAATCCACGTTCAGAGCCCTTTAAATACACCTGAAAATATTCCTTAAAAATCCAAGTTCAGAGCTCTTTAAATACCCTTAAAAATATTCCTTAAAAATCCATGTTCAGAGCCCTTTAAATACCCTTAAAAATATTCTTAAAAATCCAAGTTCAGAGCCCTTTATATACTCCTGAAAATAATCCTTAAAAACTCCATCTTAAGACTCATTAAGTATGTTTTAAAAATCCGAAATTTTAACTCTTAAAGATCATTGGAAAATAGAAGCCATGTTTAGAGTCTCTTAACTAATCCATAAATCCCAGAATGGACACCTAGAAGAACTTCCTCATTTTTTTGAAAACTCCACATTTAGACCCATTAAAAAAAATTAATTAAATCCACGTGTAGATCCCTTAAAGATCTCCATATTTTTTAATCACGATTATAATCCTTAATATGCTCCAGAAAGTATGCCTTGAAAATCCAATATTAGAGTCCTTTTTCTTCATCAGATAATAATTTTGTAATAATTTTCTCTCAGTATATTCAGATATAAGTATATTCAGATATATTCTTAAAAAATCCACGTCTAGATCCCGTAAAATACTCTGAAAATACTCCAAAACTAAGGCTTTAATAATCCAAGATCAGGCGCTTAGAAGATTTTTAATTTTTTTTTTTTTTTCAAAAATCCTCTGGAAATATTTCGAATAATTTCAAAACAGTTATTCGTTTAAAATACTCCCGAAAATATTCTAAAACATAAATGTTTGCATCCTTAAAAATACTCCACAAAATATGCTTTAAAATCCACGTTTAGAGTCTGAAAATATCCCAGAATATAGGCTTTAATAATCCCCTAGAAGGCATCCAATATTTTTTTTTTCAAAAATCCTCCTTAGAGTCCTTGAAGAAAAATATTGCGAATAATTTCGAAAATTTTATTATTTTAAATTCTCTACAAAATATTCTAACACATCAATGCTCCAGAATGTACGCTTTAATAATCCAAGATCAGGCACCTAGAATATTTTTATTTATTTATTTTTTTTTTTTTTCAAAAATCCTTTTTAGAGTCTTTGAGGAAATATTTCGAATAATTTCAAAACTTTTATTATTTTAAAATTCACCAGAAAATATTCTAAAACATCAATCTATGTGCTTTAAAAATTCTCTAGAAAATAATCCCCTAGAAGGCATCAAAAAATTGTTTTTCAAAAATCCTCCTTAGAGTCCTTGAGGAAATATTTCGAATAATTTCGAAAATTTTATTACTTTAAATTCCCTACAGAATATTCTAAAACATCAATGTTTGCTTTAATAATCCACGTTTGAGTCTGAAAATACTCCAGAATGTAGGCTTTAATAATCCAAGATCAGGTCCCTAGAAGATTTTAAATTGTTTTTTTTTTCAAAATCCTCTTTAGAGTCTTTGCGGAAATATTTCGAATAATTTCAAAACTTTTATTATTTTAAAATACACCAGAAAATATTCTAAAACATCAATCTATGTCTTTAAAAATTCTCTAGAAAATAATCCCCTAGAAGGTATCCAATACGTTTTTTTTTTCAAAAATCCTCCTTAGAGTCCTTGAAGAAATATTTCGAATAATTTCGAAAATTTTATTGTTTTAAATTCTCTACAGAATATTCAATGTTTGCTTTAATAATCCACGTTTAGGGTCTCCAGAATGTAGGCTTCAATAATCCAAGGTCAGGTCCTTAGAAGATTTTTATTTATTTTTTTTTTTTTTTTTCAAAAATCCCTTTTAGAGTCTTTGAGGAAATATTTCGAATAATTTCAAAATGTTTATTATATCAAAATACTCCAGAAAATATTCTAAAACACCAATTTATGTAGCCTTAAAAATACTCCACAAAATATGATTTAAAAATCCTTGTTTAGAGTCTGAAAATACTACAGATGTAGGTAGGCCCTAAACGATCGTCATTAATTTATTTTCAAAAATCATCAATGTTTGTAGCCTTAAAAATACTCCTGAAAATATACTTTAAAAATCAAAGTTCAAAGTATTAAAATGCTCCTGAATGTAGGCTTAAATATTCCAAAATCAAACCCCTAGAAGATCTTCATTAATTTATTCTGAATAATCCTCCATTATTTTCAATAATTTCAAGATTTTTTATTTTAGCTTTACTTTGGGTTTTTTTCCAATTTTTTTTCTAATATTTTTTTTCTTTTTTTCTCTCTTGTATTGCCTCCAAAAAAAGGGTGACCGTCCCTTCTGCTGTCCCATGCCCAATTGTCGAAGACGTTTCGCCACCGAAAACGAGGTTACCAAACACATTGACAACCACATGAATCCGACAACCAAACGCAGCCGCCAGGCCAATAATACCGCCAACAGCAATAACAACAATAATAACAACAACAACAATTCACATGCAGCAGCTGCCGTGGCATCGGCGGCCGCTGCAGCGGCAGCAAATCATTTAATCAATGAAACCAAAAATGCAGCTGCTCAACAGTTTCTGAACAACAACAATCCAGCGGGTGACAATAAGAATAACATACTGCCGCGTGGTATGGGTGGCGGCGGCGGTGGGGGTGGTGGTCCAAATCCCGGATCACAGGTGAAAAATGAGCTGTATTTCCCCCAGTGTTATGGACCACCATTCCAGCATCCATTTCAAACGCAACAACCAACGGCGGCCCACAACAATGGACAACCGGCTGTATCGGTAAGTGTGGCCAATTCGGTGGCACCCGGAGTGGTTGGGCAACAGAATGCCCCAACATCGGTGGTTGTGGCCCAGTGACATCCCACCACAACAACGGCAGCAGCGGCGGCGGCGGCGGCGGCGAGCCAACAATCCACAGCTGTAACGGGGGCAAGTGGCACGGCACCGCCAAGTAATTCACATGGCCCTCACCAACAGCAACAGATATCGCAACATGCCAATACGGCAGCGGCAGCTGCAGCTGCAGCGGCCCACAGTCAAACTCCGCAGACGGTGACACTGTCCATAACCCTGCCGCCTGTGGGGGCATTACCACCCTCGGCTGCGGCAGCCGCAGCAGCAGCGGCGGCCCATCATCACCAGCAACAGGGTGGGCATGTGGTCAACACCTCGCATGCCCATAGTCAGCCACCGGCAGCGCCACCGCCACCAACTTCGGGTCCACCGCCAACCCTGTCACATGCAATACCCATACATCCTCATATACACTCAATATTCGGATCTCTATGATAATATCAGCAATAACAGCCAACACAATAACAGCAACAACTATCAGAACCACAATCACAGCATTATCAGCAACAAACACAATAACAAGAACTGCAACTACCACCCACACAAACTTATGTATACAAATAACAATAACAACAACAACAACAAAAACAATTATGAAATCTATAAGAATTTTTTGTAATGGAAACTCTTTTTCACAGCAAAAGGATAAGAGTCCTTTGGCTAAGAGAATGTACACTAACGGAAGAGAATAGAGCAGTATATATATATGACCAAGAAGAATAGTGTATGTTAAGCCGATCTTAGATTTAGTTTCATACTCTCATGCAAATCAAATCACTGAACTCACTCATTTTTATAAACACCCTCACCCGGACTCACACATAAAAGCCTAATTACATATATGAATTACACAAGGGCTTAGGTTTATTAAAAAAAAACCAAGCTAAACTTTTAAAATTTTTACTAAGTTTTTTTTTTTTTTTAAATCACATATTAATTATTAACGACACACACACACACATACACTCAAAGATTGAAATACCTTGATTTTTTGGTGTATCGGAAAAAAGTGTTTCAACAAAAGAGCAACTAGTCTTTTAGAAAAGGACTCTAAACTTGGTAATTACCTTTTTTTTTTTTCTTTCTTTGTTTGATTTCGAACGGAAGACAAAAGAACAATGAGTGAAGGACTCACAAAAAAAAAAAACGCAATTTTTTCACTTCTTTTTTTTTTATGTGACAAATATAGGAAAAAAAAAACAAAACACACAAGAAACACTTTGGGAAATACATATTTATTATATTTTTAGAACTGAGGAGTAATAGGATTTTTTTGAAAATTTTTATTTTGAAAAACTTAAACATGAAATGTTATGAAAATTCAATTTATTCATCTTAGAAAACAAATTTCCCAAATATTTTGTTTGCAGTGTATTTATTATTAAGAGTTTTCAAATTGAAGTTAAATGACCCAAATAAATTTTCTATAAATTAAAGATATTTTGAAAATATATATATATATATATATATATATTTTGAATTTCAATTCATTCGTCTTAGAAAAAAATATCCCAAGAGTTTTAAAATTAATTTAAATGACCCATATAAAATTTTTATAATTTTTTATTTTTTTATAAAATATTTTGATTTTAAACAAAAAAATATTTGATTAATTCTTACATTTTTTATTAGAATTAAAAAATTCTATATCCAATTTCAAATCGTTTAAAACAATATGAAAATGGAAATATTTTTATTAATAATAATTAAAAACAAGTTAAAAAGTATCAGTCGGTATTGCCGGCAGATATATATCCTCAGCCTATGTTCGATTAAATAATCGAAATATATTTGACTAGTGTTACAATTATTCAAACGTTTGACCCTCTATGGAGCCGGTTCCAAAGGAATGAGCCAATATTGTCCATTTTGTATCAGACCCAAAAATATGATATAAATATTCCAACGTTCCTGGTATGGATTATATTGACTCACTCCTTCACTTTTTATGAAATATGTAATAATTTTTAGAAAATGTTAAAATGTGCGTGATGTACCATATAGAGTCTACCGAAATATTCCATTTTTATACTTCATCTGACACAAATAAAAAATATTGAGCGAAATATGGGGCAAAATTACAAGAAAGGATATTTATGTCCAATTTTATGCGAAATCATAAATATATTTGGATGCTAATTTCGCTTTATTTGGGCGTTTTGTTTTTCAAAATCTTGAACGCTAAATGGTTCGATCTATACCACCTTTATAAAAGATCTCTTGTTGATAGAAATATTGAGATGTGCCAAGTCTAAATGGAATCGGATCTTAATGTGGCGTTTTATGAGCTTCATGGGTATTCAAATTTTCGACACTTTGTGGGGGAGGTACCAGAAGGAGTGGACCGATACATTCCATGTTAACAGAAGATCCTGGTTTTTTAAAAATATTGGAATGTGTGAAATTTGAAGACGTTCGGATCCTTACATCACATTTATAAGAGTTATAATTATTCAAAATGTTGACCCTTTGTGTGGGAGGTACTTGATGGAGTGGACCGGTACTGTCCATTTTAGCACCTGACCTAGCACTGACGCAAATATTAGGATTTGCAAAGTTAGAGCAAAATCGGGTAACCGTTTCTATTTCTGTCCAAAAAATTTCGACCTTTTGTGGGGGAGGTACCAAAAGGAGTGGACCGATGTATTCCCTCTTAACACCAGACCTTGGGTTAATAAAAATATTGGAATATGTGAAATTTGAAGACGTTCGGACTCTTACATCACATTATTTTAAGAGTTGTAATTATTCAAAATTTTGACCCTTTGTGGGGGAGGTACTTGATGGAGTGGACCGATATTGTCCATTTTTGTACTTGACCTAGAACTGATGCAAATATAAGGATTTGCAAAGTTTGAGCAAAATCGGATTATTGCTTCTCTTTATGTGCAGAAAAAGAAAATATATATTTTTTTGTTTTTGAAAATTTCGACCTTTTGTGGGGGAGTTACCCGAAGAAGTGGACCGATACATTCCATTTTCACACCAGACCTTGGGCTAATAAAATTATTGGGATGTGTGAAATTTGAAGACAATCGGACTCGTACATCACATTTTATGAGAGTTGTAATTATTCAAAATTTTGACCATTTGTGGGGGAGGTACTTGATGGAGTGGACCGATATTGTCCATTTTCACACCTGGCCGAGTACTGACGCAAATATTAGGATTCGCAAAGTTGGAGCAAAATCGGATTATCCCTTCTCTTTCTGTGCAAGGAATATTTTTTTTTTGCAAATTCCAACCTTTTGTGAGGGAGGTACCAGAAGGAGTGGACCGATATTGCCCATCTCCGAACTCGATCTAAGTTTGACAAAGATATTACGATGTACCAAGTTTGAACCAAATCGGATACTCCCATCGAGAGTTATCGTGCGCACCAGCCAGACAGACAGACGGACGGACGGACGGACATCGCTAGATCGACTCCAAATGTTCTGAAACGGATTTGGTCCAAAGAGACCTAGGATCTAAAACCGTTATTTCGACTAGGCACGTTTTGACCGTATCAAATGATATATACCCTCTGTAGCCATATGGCTGAGGGTATAATGAGTTAAGGTTATATATAAAATGATATGATATTTAAAAATAATTTCAACTTAATTTTAAGAAATTTTTATTTGATTTAAAATCATGTCATTTTTTATTTTTTGAAAAAAAAAACTCAAAATGAGTTAGAATTTAAAAAAAAAATAATAACTTAAAAATTTTAGAATGACTGATTTAAAACCATTTCATTTGAATATATTTGAAAAAGACTCATTCTAGTTTAGTAAAAACTCTTATGCTTTGTTAAAAAAACTTCCCAGTGGCAGGTATTTTTACCCAAATTTCGGGAAAATATTTTTTTTCTACGGAAACGGAACCCAGGTATTGACCCGATAATTTGACTATAACTTTCGAACCGCTTTAAATAATCCCATCATGTGATCACTTGTTGGAGAGGTATAAGCTTTCAAACGATATTGTCTTTATCGGGTAAGTGGATCGAGGTGTAGCCCGGGTCTTAGACCCAAACTTTCGGGTCAAAAATCTGGGCTCCCGGGTTCATACCCCAAGAAAAAAATAGTTTCCCGGAATCAGGGTAAAAATACTTTCCCTTGGAAGTAGAGTTATTCCGACAAAAAAATAACCTCAAAATGAGTTAAAATTTAAAAAAATTTACCTCAAAAATTTAAATTGAGTTTGACTTTGACTCGTATGGCCACTGAGCGTATATATCATTTGATACGTCCAAAACGTGTCCAAATCGAAATAACGCCTTTAGACCCCACGTCTCTTGAGCCAATTCCATTTCAGGATATTTGGTGTAGACCTAGGGGTGTCCGTTCATCCATCTATTTGTCTGGCACGAGAATTCTCAAAAGGTAGTATCGGATTTGATCCAGACTTCGTTCTTCATAATGTTATTATCAAACTTAGATTGAATTCGGAGATGAGCACTCCTTTTGGTACCTCCTAGCACAAATAGTCCAAATTTTCAAATAAAATAATTTATCATATAGAACAAGAAAGGATCATCCAAATTTGTGCAATCTTCGCAAATCCATATATTTTTATCAATGCTGGGTCAGGTGTAAAAACGGACAATATCGACCAAGTCCATGAAGTGACTTCCCCACAAAGGGTCTTCATTTTGAATAATTATTATTCTTGTAAAATATGAAAATAGCCTCTGATTGTCTTCAAATTCCGCACATCTTAACATGTCGATCAACAAAATATCTGTTATGAAGGGCGGAGGGAACGGACCTCCCCTTTTTTGTACCTCCCCTATAACGAGTCAACATTTTGAAAATTCTTAAAGGTCAAAAAACACGAAATGAACATCCGTTTTCTTTTAACCTTGGCAAATTGCAATATTTCTGTCAACACACGACGAGGTGTTAATATGGTTTATATATCAGACCACTTTTTCTGGTACCTCCCCCTTAGCGGGTCAAAATTTTGAATAGTTATATTTCTTATAAAAGTGTGATTTCTTTAAAACTTGACATATTCCAATATTTGGATCAACACAAGATTTGCTATGAAGATTGTGTACTAGACCACTCCTTCTGGTACCTCCCCCACAGCGGGTCAAAATTTGGAAAACTTCAAACTCTCATAAAAGTACTAAATAGACATTCGATTCTCTTTAAATTTCACACATCTCATTTTTTTTAACAACAGAAGATATGGTGTGAAGATTGTAAATATCGGCCCACTCCTTCTGGTACCTCTCCCACAAAGGGGTCAAAATTCGGAATTATTATGACTCCTAAAAATTGCGAAATAAGTATCTAATTCTCTTCAAATTCACACATCGCAATCTTTCTTGTAGCACAAGTTATGGTGTGAAGATGGTAAATATCGGTCCACTCCTTCTGGTACCTCCCCCCACAAAGGGTTAGGAATTTTGAATAACCAAAATGACCATAAAGGCGCAACAAGCATTTGATTCGCTTCGAACTTAAGAAATCTCAATATTTTTTAATACCAGAAGATCTGGCGTGCTGATGGAAGATATCGGTCCACTCCTTCTGGTACCTCCCCCACAAAGGGTTAGGAATTTTGAATAACCAAAATGACCATAAAATTTCAAAAATCTTAATATTTTTAACAACAAAAGATCTGGTGCGGCGATGAAAGATATCGGTCCACTCCTTCTGGTACCTACCTCACAATAGGATCAAAATTTCGAATGACCTTGAAGCTCATAAAATGTTAAATAAACATTAAATTCTTTTCAGAATTTTCCCATCTCAATATTTTTAATAACAGAAGATCTCGTTTGAAGATGGAATATATTGGCCGATATCTTCTGGTACCTCTCTTAAAGAAGATATATTTACGCTCTCGGAAATGGAATACCGTTTTTTTACGACCAACGGGTTTTTGTCGAATAGGTGGTACAAACATATGCCAATAACAACGAAGCAAGCCAACGACCTGTCGTGCCGGGGTCCCACTATGGATCTCCCGTTAAAGTAGATCTGCTTAAAAAAGCCCAGCTTCGAAAGTCCGATAGATCACTCTCAGGGCATCAAGATTTTATCTGTGATGCCTTCCTTTTCTTTCATTGGTGGATCTCTGTTTCTTCTCTTCTTCCGGTTTTCTCTTTCATCAGGGACCTTTTCAAAACTCAGTTTTGGCGGGGCATTTAAATTTAGTTTGA